TTTAGCGTATCAAATATGGCAAATTATTCATTTCTTTGAGCTCGTAAGGACCAGATCTAAACACAAGTAAAACGCGTTTTGTCGTTTCTGATGTAAGCGGTGTGCAGAGTACTATAACATCTGACTGAGACAACAAATCTGACAAAGTTCTGCAAAAGTGAGCACCTGGAAAATAAAGTAGATGATAGGAATCACGGCTGCTCAGCGAGCGAAGCAAGCCGAGCGTGACCTGCGGAAGAAAAAAAGGCAAGGGAGCCTGTAGACTTTGTTTTGATGCCGCCCATTCAGGATACCGGATTCTAGTATCATGATCTGATTGGTCAGATCGCTGGCTGTTGACAAGTGAGCGATGAGTATCGATGAATGTATTCCTCATTTCGCGAAAAATACGCACGTGCACGCAAATGTTACTGAGGCCAATGAATTCAAGCGTAAAAAACATCATAACTTGATAGGTCGAATTACCTTATTGACATGTTAATGACATGTGTTACAGGACAACCTCGTCTCCATGGCTTTTCCTTTAAAAAATGGCCGCCCCACCCATTTTTTAAGGGAAAAGCCCTGGGTACGAGGTTGGTTACAGGATAAATGCAAATGAGCAGATGGGCGGCATCAAAACAAAGTTTACAGGATCCTTTGCCTTTTCTTTTCACCCAGGCCACGCTCGGTTCACTTCCCTCGCCGATATTCTTTTTCACCCCGCTCCACTTGAGAGCCTGTTCGCAGACTAGGCGAGAGAGGACATAAACCTTTGTGTGTAAAGAAAAACGTTAACATTTGTCGCATGTCAGATTGAGGTATGCGCTTCAGGTTCTGACCATCTGAGTCACGTGCATCAGGAGGTCTTGCGTGAAGTAGTACGCTGTGCATGGGCTTGTGACGAATTGAGGTTTTCTGTTGAAGTGAGCGAAACGTTTTCCCTAATTTCGACTTTCAATCGAATATTTTCCCTCTACCTTGTCGGTAGAAGAATAAATTGATTCAATGGAAACTCCCTGTTTAACTCAACAAGCGATCAGCACATTTATAAATGGTTGGTTCACCCGTTATGGGTCTTATGGCGCGCAACGGACCATTTTTTCAGTTGTGACTTAGTACTTAAGCCTTTGAGTGAACGTGGGTAGTTCAAGGTTGACCGACCTTGTTTATAGATACCGACCAGACCTTTTCAAATTCTAAAAAGATACTGAATACGCTGAGGAGAACAAGATTAACATAACAAAACAGGAGGGATTAACATCAAAACAAGAAGAGGTATTGTGAAAAGCTTCAGAGACAACTGCACATGAAAGCTTCAGGAGCAAGCCAAACCAACAAGAACATGGAGCATGCTACATCTATATATTAAACTGAGATATCTTTTATATGACCAGTGTCTCAGTTTGTTGGACTCGACTGGACATTCTGAGGTAGATAAATAGACAGTTCACTGATACAGCTCAGTGGAAATGTCAATTAACTATACCGACATCTGTAAGCTAGTGAGGTCAAGTAAATAGCATTTCATTCATAATCGAAATACTTATCGCCAAGAAACCGCGGTATAGTCTCATCCTAGGCGTTCACCTATTTGCGAGCTGGAAAAAGGGAGTGTCACTACCTTCGATAAAGCTAATCTTCGAGATGCTTTCCTACGTCAAAGCCGTCCTTTTTGCTATCGCTATTAGCTTTGAAATGTCCTCCATAGCTCAAGCGACACTTTACGCTAACTGCAGCTTTGTGGGGTTAAAAACATTACAGAAAAGTGAAAACAAGTCTTCGTTAATAACATTAACGTCTGAGCTTCCTTCGTCAAGAAAACTAGGCTGCACCGTAAAGGCAGACAACGCAAACAGTATTTTATATTTGAGAGGTAAAAGAAACAACGATTCGAAAGAAGGTGAGTTAAATGCGGACCCTCGGAATAGAAAGCTATCACTAGAGGGGTAGGTTGGTTATTCACGATGGTGTAGTTACTATTTCGCGCATTGCAGTATTCAGTGAAGGTTTCCATCTTCAGTTTGTTTTGCTTACAAGGCCTTGCAATGCAACCCGTTTACTTTCAACCTAGGGTCTTGACAAGATGTCTTCAAGACTTTGCCCGTTTTGGTTTTCTTGAACTCATATTTTGTCAAATAAATAGCCCAGAACGTGCAATCTATAGGCTCTTCGATATCGCGAATAATACGAAATGCGACACAGACTAAATTTACTGAAAACCTCTTCATCCGCCAGAGCCGTATGACTGAAGGGCTGAAAACCCAGTAAACTGTTTTGAATTATATTTTGAACTTACTCTAACACTTTACTAGTGCAAGAGAATTATTTGCCTTGAGGGAGCCAGACATCAATAGGTATTGTTTATTGAAATGAAGTGCCATCATGGTTATGAGAACACCGATAGAGTTTTCTCATTTTTATGGTTTTGTATTCATCGGCCTTGATCGGATGACCGGGCACCGACATATAACTACCGATTGCATTGCAGCTATGCTGGACTAACAAACTCTCCCACGTAAATTACAGAGGCGAAGGAGCGTTTTGAAACGTGCGTGGGGGAGCTCATCTTTCACTCAGTCATGCGCATTAACTCCTACTCAGATTTTCAAAAATGCCTTTAGCGTTGTTCGTTGTCCCATCAAACCTCCCTGTAAACTTCATAGTGTCTAGTGTGCCGGAATCGATTTTTTTCAGGCTGTCCTGCTTCGTGTAGTTCTTGAGTTGTCTTAGGGCAGAAAATGTGCGCTCTGAAGTCACCGATGCCATAGATATTGCGAGGGCTTGTATGATCCGGATGTAAACCCAGACTGGTTAGGAAAGCCGGCAAACATCAAAGTTGAAAACAACGGTGGTGTAGTTTATTTTGGAAGCTCCCTGACCGTGCACAACCTTTTGTTTTCTTTGTCATTCACAAATTGTGACTGAATAAATTAATGCTAGCAGTGATTTTATTGGTCAGTAACTTCAAAATGATAGGAATGCTATTGAACGTTGCGCGCGGTCAGGTCCAAAAAATCTAACAACATATAACAAAGGGTTTCCCAACCAATCCACTTAATTAACTATGCTCAGACATTATAATTTTAGCTAAAGCTAATAATAATATATTTGCATACATAATTACATACATATTGCTGGTTTTCAAAGTCACGCCATTCAAAATAGATCAAAATAAAAATCACAACCGTTCAATCCGCGTTCAATAGATAAAGTCCAGAATCTGGTAAATGAAAGGAGGTACATATATAAACACCCTCGCTCAGATTAAGGTCAGAGGAATATTTCGTATACGAGATATCCGAAGAAATGTCTTACCCAAACTTATACTGAGATTTGTATGGAGACACCATGCTGGTCGGCTCACCTGGATGAGCTCCAATGGGCGGACGGAAACCAACAGAAACATCTGTTACCGAGTTTTGCTACAGAAGCGTGAATTTATTCTTCGAGAAACTCATAAAGATTAAAGTAATACTTTTTCTAATACATGTACTGTTAGATAGCAAAATTTCCTGAAATAAGTCGTTTTTTTAACCTACATGACCGTCCGCTCTCTTGGCCGTCATGTAAGTGCCGCGTCACGCAAAAGCCTAGAAATTCAAGCGTACTCTATCACAACACCAAGAACCCTTTTGAAGCGAAAATTTGTATGAAAAATATAGTTTTCAGCTGTTCTAATGCATCGTGAAAGGAAAATCTCGGTAGGATCGATAGTTTTTTAGTTTGGATCTTAGTGACGTCATGTGAAAACCAACAATAAAACGTGATACATATTTGAAAGGCCTTGTGTTAACTTGTAGTCTTGAATAGTTAGGAATTATATTTTCTCCGATTTTCTCGAGCTTCTACAAGAGCATCCAATACCTTCAATTCAGTTTTTGTATGATGGATTGCTGTTCCTGTTTGACAGGTTTTCTTCGCCTATCAGTCTATGGCAAAGGCAACACCTTTGAGGGTCAACTGGACCTTTCAGAATCTTCAATTCACGACCAGTGGGGAAGTCTGTCGTTCTGTCCTTCTAATTCAGGAGATGACCCGATGGAAAAACACCTCACGCTTTCAGGAACACCCGGAATGGGTTTCACAGTAGAAGCATCTCAAGACAATGGAATAGGCCTCGATGACCCTAAAGAGTTTGAAATAAATAAACGGAATACTGTAAATGTCTTTCAGTTTATCCCTCCTAAAGACATCTCAAAGACGCAGCTTGATATAACGGTTACTTCCGACTCGGATGTCCCATCTTACTTGAAAGTTTCACAAAACTGTCAGGACGTTAAGGACAACATAAGACTTGTGGATTATAAGGGCAAGTCTATTCGTCTTACTTTTGCGAGGAAAGGACGTATCACTTTATCCAAGGCATCTATTCCTCCTCTGGCCGACTCAGCAAGCTGGTACATTGGTATTGCCCTAAATAACGCTGCAGGTACAACGCCATTGAATGCAAATAAAAGTGGAACATTAACTTTGAAAAAATCGTTTAGCTACTCGTATGCGGGGCCCATGTCATTCATATGCTTGGTACCCTTTTTCGGTGGGGGCATTGCAGTTGTCTGGGCTTTGATTTGTTTCAAAGAACCTCATGTTCATCCATTTCAATCTTCTAACAGTCCAATAACAGTAACTTGGGGCGAAGTCTGCACAGCCATGAAGGACGTCATCATGAACCACTGGTTTGCAGGAGGGCCCAAAACCTTCTCGTACATCACATGCATTGTCGGTTGCGTCTTGATGTTGGGAGCTTTTCAGTTTGTTTATGCAGAATGGTATTTGATGATTGAAGAAGGCGATAGAGACCATTGTTACTATAACGACTTTTGTTACAGGGTATCAAGTAGCGATATCCCGTTCAATTTAATGAGCAGTAATTTTGCATATATAGTGCATGCCTTTATTTTAGCATTGTCTGTCTGGTACATGGAGGCAGAAGTACTAGCCCGTTGTAAAAAAATGGATTCCGAGGAACACAAAAGGAAATTTTCCTTTTCAATAGGTTACGCTTTTGCGTGGGCGTTGTTTTTCGAGGGGTTGTTTTCAACACTTTACCATCTTTGCCCAAGTAAGATCACATTTCAGTTTGATACGGCATTTATGTTCGTCATGTCAGGTTTGATTGTCGTTGTGATGTATAATGGCATTGAGACAAAAAACTGCCAAGAAGATGGAGAGGCCAGAGATAATGTGGGAGCACCAAATTTCTTCCTTGCCTTTATAGTCCCACTTTATATTTTAAACTATCTCGGTTCACTGAATCACTCCAGCAAAGGTCTTGTCCCAACGGCGGCCTGGGCCGTACCCCTTGCTCTTTGGTGCTTTGTTATTGTTAACTGGGTTGGCTATAAATTGTATTTTAAAGACTGGAAACGGTGTTCGCTCTTGGAAGGGGACAAGTGTAAAAAATGTATTGGCCTTACTATTGGTGTGAGCATAGCAGTCCTTCTGCTATGTTTGATGACGATTTTCGATAGCCTTCCACAAGCGCTTCTTTTTACTTGTATTGCAGAAAGCATATTCGTTACTACGGTGAAAGTCTGCTTGGGGCGTGAGTGTGAGTGTGTGTGTGATTGTAAGTGTAAGTGTGAATGTTGTTCTTTAAAACGTTTTTTCACTTGGTTCTATGTATTGTTAACCATAGCGTTTTTAGTTTCCGCATTCTGTATTTTTAAGGCCTTTCCAACAACAGATAAAGCAAAGACACCTGAGAAATCTCGTAATAAAAACGACGAATGCAAATGGTTCGGTTTCTTCGACTACCACGATATCTGGCACTTTTTGTCTTCATTTGGTCTGCTGATGGGAGCACACCTTCTGATGTATGCCAGCCATACTGCTCCGAGTAACGATAGCGGTGAGAGTTCATTTGACAGGGTGAAAAGTCGGCAACAGCGTAGCGAGGGATTCAGCAACCCTGGTTTCCAGAGTCCGGGCAACGAAACACCCATGGAGGCGGTATCCAATCAATCAGTGTGATTGTGCTTGTACTGTCCCATAGACGAAAGCAAAGGCTTACCCATTAAAATGTTAAAATCAGGCTAAATAGAATTCGGAAAACTGCTCATTAAAAAAGTGTCAAAAGAATTAGTCTCCTATACATTTCCTTCGTTTAAACTCTTTTTCCTGTTTTGAGGTCTGATTTTAATATATGAAGTTCTACAGTACTGCTGCAAAACAAAAATACTATGTTGACCAATCGGCGATCGTAGAACCAGATTCCGACTCAGCAAACCTTCGTACGTCATCAGTATGGAATTTGGGCTGAATCGCAGACTTGATGAAAGAGGAGAGACGGCTGTATTCGCTATGTTACAATCTCCTGAAAATTGTTTCTCAAAGACGTTACTTCAAAATTGCCTCGCGTGGCGGCAGAATGTATACGTGTGTCAGTTTAGACTCTTTTCGTTTCTCGGTTAGTGGTGTGTGGACCTCTAGTAACATTGCATCTTTCTAACCTCGGCTAAGATAAGAAAATATGAATAACCAATACCTCGTTTAAAAGTGAGTTGAATTGTTTTGGGGGAAAAAACCTATTTTGTATTCTATAAAGTGCACTCAGTACTTTAAAAAAAGATGATTTTAAAATGCCTTAAAATCTAGTCATGGGTTTATATGATATCCAATTGCATTAACCTTTTTGATCCATTGATTTTTGATTAGCGGTTATTGTATGCAGTTACTTAGAAGCTCATGGACCTACTGGGAATAAGCCACTTTTTATCGTTGACAAAGAACTTTCAGACAACTGACAGAGAAAAAGCCCTTTCTATTCACAAACTCAGTAAGGCCTCTTAACGGCGAGCATTCATAAACAGCATTTTCATGAAAATCCCAATGACAACATGAACAGACTTTTTGTAAAGTGAAATGTAGGTCTGATGTTGTCTGAGAGTCGATTGCAATAGGTAGCCTGTGCATAGCCGCCCCCATCAAAGAGAGAACGGGGCATCTGCGCTGACACAGTCAAGAGCCTAGACACAGTAATCTTTTTTAACCCTTTTTAATACATATTATATCCAGGAAGAAAAGTTAATGTTGAATAGTAGGATTTTTGAACATCATTATCTTGTATTAGAATTTTGTATTTTGGTAGCTTTTTTGCACTACATGCAGCTACGATAATTACTTGAAACATAGTCACGTAAGAACCAGGCTGACGTCACCTTTTGAGTGAGTTAACGCAACAGGACGGCAAAATGCTTGCGTGTGACAAACGTGACAGTACTATTACTTGCGTGTTTTATCGTGATCTTCACTTAACGTTAATTTTTTCTAGTCGTTTACAAAAAGATCTGTTAAAAAAAAGGTGAAGTTTGGGGCGGAAACGCAATTATGGTCACGCGTGTCACACAAAGTTTGTCGTCTTCTTTCCTGTCCCGTCCTGATGCGTACTACTGATGTGCCACTGGTTCTTTGAAACAAAAGAATTATGGGGGATTTAGAGTGTCTGCGACGTAGACCAATAGGACTCATGGCGGATCTGACGTCATCATGGGAAAACGCTCTTTTGAAGTTACTTTCAAATATGACTTAGTTAATATACTAACTTCTTAACTATAAAATAAAAGTGTTTGTCAGATGTACTGCGAGTGAATTCAAAAACCATTAAACTTTTAAAATTTTCTTCGCTAAGTCTCGTTTTGTCTGTAACTTCAGCTGCACCGTTATTCTACTTGCGAAAGCGTGAGGTAATAATGACTGAACCTTAGCCAAGTATTCTTCTTCGCGTCATCACTGAGACCGAGACGTCCAGGCCCATAAAAAGGAGGAAAAGGAACAAGGCTAATACCCAGCCATCTCGACCCTGAAAAGGCGATTTACCGTTGAAGTATGACAAAGGAGTCGGATATTTAGTTTTGCGAGACCAAACCGGAAAATCCTCAGAAGCAGGCGAGATAGGCCCAATAACAATAACCTTTTGTTGATAACAAAACTAACTACCCTAAATGCCCGAATTAGCGCCCGGGGCGCTTATTTAATTTTCTAAGGCGAGAGGGGGGCGCTAATTCGAAGGGGGGCGCTTATTTGAAGGGGGTGCTTATTTCGTTTATCAATTTTTAGTCTCAAAATGACACTATCTTTATTTCTATTTAAAACCAAACTGCAACATAAAAATTCAAAAACCCTATAGAAAACTACTTTTTGCGAACTCGAAACGTTCTTAAGACTTTTTCGTCAAAAAGTGTATTTTATTTCTGCAATAGAACAAGCATTTGGATTCTTAATCAACTTCAATTTCTCTATCGCTGTCCTCAAGGATCGATATGGATATTTCTATCAGGGAAATGAGCAGCAAACCCGTGCGACTTTGAAAGGACATTACTGTTTATACTATTTAACAATGTCACATTTCATTAAAAGAACCGTATAGACCGTATACGTCTCGTATATCGTACCGAGTACCGAAACTCATTTTTTTCTCGGGGGAGGGGGGGGGGAGCGCTTATTTGAAGGGGGGCGCTTATTATAAATTTTGAGCCTTAGGAGAAGCGCTAATTCGAAGCGGGGCGCTTATTTGAAGCTGGGCGCTAATTCGAGCATTTACGGTATTAATTTCGCTGAAGAAGAAAAATATATATTTATTCAAAACACTATTTACAAGTCATTTCATTTTATAAGCTCCCGTTCATTTCGATTAAAAAAAACTCATTTCATTTAAAAAAAAACCACTCATTTCAATTAAAAACAATTCATTTCGATTAAAAAGGAAACAATAGGCCCATCTTGCACACTCTGTTAGACAATCAGCCCCGGGAGGGGGACTCTGCATATGAAAGGGGTGGGGATGCTCGGCAGAAATTTTGAATTAAACCCCTAAAGGAGACCAATCTGGGCGCGGCCCGACCTTTTTTGACCTCTTAAAGCGATCATCCTAAACTTTGATTACGTGAATCGAGAATCGAATAAATAAAACGAATTGAAAATATAAAATTTTTTAATATTTTTTCGAGTGCAACCCTAAAAGAGACCTTTAGGGCTACATATAATAGTGTTTTGCCCAGAACACCCTAAGCGAGACCAAAATCCGAAATTTACACCCCTAAGCGAGACGCCGAGCATCCCCACCCCTTTCATATACAGAGTCTCCCCTGGGACATTCAGAACACAGGGTTTGTGTCATCTGACCCGCTCGCGGAGCCAGCCAAATTTGATAGCCTCGTGATAAATCATTTATCAGTTGTGGGCTCTGTAGCACACGAGGCTGACCATTGCTTGTTTCAGGCTCTTTAAATAGAAATCGTAACGCCCGAATCAGCGCCCCCTTCAAATAAGCGCCTTCCCCCTCTGAATTATTGGCGGCTCTTCAGGCTAAGGATTAAGCAAACGCCCTTCTGTGAGTCAAAAAAATAACTAAGCACCCTCACTTAACACCCTTCCTTAATGACGCAATATAGAACTTATATCTGCGAATATAGAACAACACCAGAGAATGACCCATTTGAGGGCATCACACAGTCACATGACTTAATTTGGCAAACATTAGGAAGCCGTCTTTTGTGAGCAATAAATTTCACGAGTTGGAGAAGGAAATGCCCAAAGCGTATCAAATATGGCAAATTATTCATTTCTTTGAGCTCGTAAGGACCAGATCTAAACACAAGTAAAACGGGTTTTGCGAAATTTAGACTGCAGAAGATGCTGCAAAACAGGGAGAGAAAATAATACGAAAAATTTATAGCAAAGAAAAGAGTAATTTTTACCTACCCTTTTTGCCTTTAAGTCTGCGACAAGATGAACTTTACAACTCGTGCTATTTAAGAAACCCTACTTTTATCAATTGACCCCAAAAGGTAGCTTCTGGCCATTTAAACCGGCTCTTAAATTCATCACAACCAGCTCCATCATTTTTATTCCCGTGCATGCAGTTGCTGATTCAAAGTGTGGTGTCAAAGTAACGTTCGTCATTTTCAACAATGGATGATCTTCGGCAGAGGCTCTGGTTCGGTCACGTCGAGCGCTGCGGCTTTTATCACTCCATTCTTCAATGCGTCAGTCAAATCATCATGGTTGACCATTCCTCCACGTGCAATATTGACCAGTGTTGCTATTGGTTTCATTAGGGCGAGCTCCTTTGCTGATATCATGTGGCTCGTTTCTGATGTAAGCGGTGTGCACAGTACTATAAAATCTGACTAAGACAACAAATCTGACAAAGTTCTGCAAAAGTGAGCACCCGGAAAATAAAGTAGATGATAGGAATCACGGCTGCTCAGCGAGCGAAGCAAGCCGAGCGTGACCTGCGGAAGAAAAAAAGGCAAGGGAGCCTGTAGACTTTGTTTTGATGCCGCCCATCCAGGATACCGGACTCTAGTATCATGATCTGATTGGTCAGATCGCTGGCTGTTGACAAGTGAGCGATGAGTATCGATGAATGTATTCCTCATTTCGCGAAAAATACGCACGTGTACGCGAATGTTACTGAGGCCAATGAATTCAAGCGTAAAAAACATCATAACTTGATAGGTCGAATTACCTTATTGACATGTTAATGACATGTGTTACAGGATAAATGCAAATGAGCAGATGGGCGGCATCAAAACAAAGTCTACAGGATCCTTTGCCTTTTTTTCCCCCAGGCCACACTCGGTTCACTTCCCTCGCCGATATTCTTTTTCACCCCGCTCCACTTGAGAGCCTGTTTGCAGACCAGGCGAGAGACGGCATAAACCTTTGTGTGTAAAGAAAACCTTTAACACTTGTCGCATGTCAGAACGAGGCATGCGCTTTAGGTTCTGACCATCTGAGTCACGTGTCTCAGGAGGTCTTGCGTGAAGTAGTACTCTGTGCATGGCCTGGTGACGAATTAAGGTTTTCTGTTGAAGTGAGCGAAACGTTTTCCCTAATTTTGACTTTTATTCGAATATTTTTCCTCTACCTTGTCGGTAGAAGAATAAATTGATTCAATGGAAGCGTCCACTGTTTAACTCAGCAAGCGATCAGCACATTTATAAATGGTTGGTTCACCCGTTATGGCGCGCAACGGACCATTTTTTCAGTTGTGACTTAGTACCCAAGCCTTTGAGTGAACGTGGGTAGTTCAAGGTTAACCGACGTTGTTTATAGATACCGACCAGACCTTTTCAAATTCTAAAAAAAGAGAAAAAGATTAACATAATAAAACAGGAAGGATTGACATCAAAACAAGAAGAGGTATTGTGAAAAGCTTCAGAGACAACTGCAGATGAAAGCTTCAGGAGCAAGCCAAACCAACAAGAACATGGAGCATGCTACATCTATATATTAAACAGAGATACATGTATATGACCATGGGATAGATAAATAGACAGTTCACTGATACAGCTCAGTGGGTATGTCAATTAACTATACCGACATCTGTAAGCTAGTGACGTCAAGTAAATAGCATTTCATTCATAATCGAAATACTTATCGCTAAGAAACCGCGTATAGTCTCATCCTAGGCGTTCCACTATTTGCGAGCTGGAAAAAGAGAGTGTCACTACCTTCGATAAAGCTAATCTTCGAGATGCTTTCCTACGTCGAAGCCGTCCTTTTTGCGATCGCTATTAGCTTTGAAATGTCCTCCATAGCTCAAGCGACACTTTACGCTAACTACAGCTTTGTGGGGTTACAAACATCACAAAAAAGTGGAAACAAGTCTTCGTTAATAACATTAACGTCTCAGCTTCCTTCGTCAGGAAACCTAGGCTGCACCATAAAGGCAGACAACGCAAACAGTATTTTATATTTGAGAGGTAAAAGAAACAACGATTCGAAAGAAGGTGAGTTAAATGCGGACCCTCGGAATAGAAAGCTATCACTAGAGGGCTAGGTTGGTTATTCACGATGGTGTAGTTACTATTTCGCGCATTGCAGTATTCAGTGAAGGTTTCCATCGTCAGTTTGTTTTGCTTACAAGGCCTTGCAATGCAACCCCTTTACTTTCAACCTAGGGTCTTGACAAGATGTCTTCAAGACTTTGCCTGTTTTGGTTTTCTTGAACTCATATTTTGTCAAACATGCAATCGATAGTCGGTATCGCGAATAATACGAAATGCGACACAGACTAAAGTTACTGAAAACCTCTTCAGCCGCCAGAGCCGTATGACTTAAGGACTGAAAACCCAGTAAATTGTTTTGAATTATATTTAACTTACTCCAACACTTTAATAGTGCAGGAAAATTATTTGCCTTGAGGGACCCAGACATCACTTAATTATAACAACTGTTTATTTTAAAACAGCGGCACCCAACGAGAATATAGTTCAAAACCACTTTAATATAGCATTGTTAAACGTATTTTAGTATTTAAACGGTAGATATAGGCATATTTTCATCCCCTAAAAATTTTTCATCTGTTCGGATTTCCTAGCTGAAAGCCTAGTGATCCGAAAATTATACGGATCAAAACTTACTTCTTCGAAAATTTCAGCCAGAAAAAAGGCTCTCGAAAATTCTAGGTGACCTTTTTAGGGTAAATATCCGTTAAAAATAGGCAATTATACCATTTTTTTAAAGTTCGAAAATCATAGGAGAGGCAGGCAAGCAAGAAATTTTACACAAATGTTTCGAAAATTCTAGATCTAAAATCGTCTTCCGAACAGATATTCTTCCGAAAATTGTCGTTGGGTGCCCCTGATTAAAATGAAGTACAATCATGGTTATGAGAACACCGACAGACTTTTCTCAGTTTTATGTTTTTGTATTCATCGGCCTTGATCGGATGACCAGGCACCGACACATAACTACCGACTGCATTGCTGTTATGCTGGACTAACAAACTCTCCCACGTAAATTACAGAGGCGAAGGAGCGTTTTGAAACGTGCATGGGAGAGCTCATCTTTCACTCAGTCATGCGCATTAACTCCTACTCAGATTTTCAAAAATGCCTTTAGCGTTGTTCGTTGGCACAAGCAAACCTACTTGTAAACTTCATAGACGGTCTAGTGTGTCCGTAATCGATTTTTTTTCAGGCTGTCCTGCTTCATGCTTCTTAGGTAGTTCTTGAGTTGTCTTAGGTTAGAAAATGTGCGCTCTGAAGTCACCGATGCCATAGATATTGCGAGGGGTCCGAGGGCTTGTACTATCCGAATGTAAACCCACAACGCTCACTCAGACCATAGTTAGTAGAGGAGACTGGTTAGGAAACCCGGCAAACAAACATCAAAGTTGAAAACAATGGTGCTGTAGGTTATGTGGGAAGCTCCCTGACCGTGCACAATCCTTTGTTTTTGTCATTCACAAATTGTGACTGATAAATTAATGCTAGCAATGATTCTATTGGTCAGTAACTTCAAAATGGTAGGAATGCTATTGAACGTTGTGCACGGTCAGGTCCAAAAAATCTAACAGCATATAGCAAAGGGTTTCCCAACCATTCCACTTAAATTAACTATGCTCAGACATTATAATTTCAGCTAAAGCTAGTAATAATATATTCACACACATAATAAATAGATCAAAATCAAAATCAAAACCGTTCAATAGATAAAGTCCAGAATCTGGGAAATGAAAGGAGGTACATATACAAAGACCATCGCCAAGATTCAGGTCAGAGGAATATTTCGTATACGAGATATCCGAAGAAATGTTTTACCCAAACTTATACTGAGATTTGTATGAAGACGCCCTGCTGGTGCTCACCTGGATGAGCTCCAACGTGGCGGACGGAAACCAACAAAAACATCTGTTACCGAGTTTTGCTACAGAAGCGTGAATTTATTCTTCGAGAAACTCATAAAGATTAAAGTAACACTTTTTCTAATACATGAACTGTTTAGATAGCAAAATTTCCAAAAATAAGTCGTTTTTTTAATCTACATGACAGCTCTCTTGGCCGTCATGTAAGTGCCGCATCACGCAAAAACTTTGAAATTCAAGCGTACTCTATCACAACACCAGGAACCCTTTTGAAGCGAAAATTTGTAGGAAAAATAATTTTCAGCTGTTCTAATGCATCGTGCAAGTAAAATCTCGGTAGGATCGATAGTTTTTTAGTTTGGATCTTAGTGAGGTCATGTGAAAACGAACTTGTACGGCTTTCTAAAATTCATATGACGTATTGCTGTCTTGAATAGTTAGGAATTATATTTTCTTCGATTTTCTCCAGCTTCTACAAGAGCATCCAATACCTTCAATTTAGTTTTCGTATGATGGATTGCTGTTCCTGTTTGACAGGGTTTCTTCACCTATCAATCTATGGCAAAGGCAACACCTTCCTTGAGGGTCATCTGGACATTTCAGAATCTTCAATTCACGACCAGTGGGGAAGTCTGTCGTTCTGTCCTTCCAATTTAGGAGATGACCAGATGGAAAAACACCTCACGCTTTCAGGAACACCCGGAATGGGTTTCACAGTAGAAGCATCTCAAGACAATGGAATAGGCCTCGATGACCCTAAAGAGTTTGAAATAAATAAACGGAATACTGTAAATGTCTTTCAGTTTATCCCTCCTAAAGACATCTCAAAGACGCAGCTTGATATAACGGTTACTTCCGACTCGGATGTCCCATCTTACTTGAAAGTTTCACAAAACTGTCAGGACGTTAAGGACAACATAAGACTTGTGGATTATAAGGGCAAGTCTATTCGTCTTACTTTTGCGAGGAAAGGACGTATCACTTTTTCCAAGGCATCTATTCCTCCTCTGGCCGACTCAGCAAGCTGGTACATTGGTATTGCTCTAAATAACGCTGCAGGTACAACGCCATTGAATGCAAATAAAAGTGGAACATTAACTTTGAAAAAATCGTTTAGCTACTCGTATGCGGGGCCCATGTCATTCATATGCTTGGTACCCTTTTTCGGTGGTGGCATTGCAGTTGTCTGGGCTTTGATTTGTTTCAAAGAACCTCATGTTCATCCACGACCTCTTAACAGTCAGAACAGTCCTGCAGTAACTTGGGGCGAAGTCTGCACAGCCATGAGGGACGTCATCAGGAACCACTGGTTTGCAGGAGGACATAAAACGTATTCGTACATCACTTGCATTGTCGGTTGCGTCTTGATGTTGGGAGCTTTTCAGTTTGTTTATGCAGATTGGTATTTGATGATTCAAGAAGGCGATAGAGACCATTGTTACTACAACGACTTTTGTTACAGGGTATCAAGTAGCGATATTCCGTTCAATTTAATGAGCAGTAATTTTGCCTATATATTGCATGCCTTTATTTTAGCATTGTCTGTCTGGTACATGGAGGCAGAACTCCTAGCTCGTTGTAAAAGAATGGATTCACCCCAACGCCCACCCTTAGCAGAAAATGGCCTGCCTCGGTTACCCGATCACATGTTGATTTGCCCTGACATTTCCCCTCATCTTGCTTCCATGAGTGTTCCGAATCATCAAGCAACTCCGGACGATTATGCCGAGGGACAAAAAAGACAATTTTCCTTTTCAATAGGTTACGCTTTTGCCTGGGCATTGCTTTTCGAGGGGTTGTTTTCAACGCTTTATCATCTTTGCCCAAGTAAGATCACATTTCAGTTTGATATGGCATTTATGTTCGTCATTTCAGGTTTGATCGTCGTTGTAATGTATAATGGCATTAAAATAAACTGCCAGGAAGATGGAGAGGCCGGAGGTAATGTGGGAGCAACAAATCTCTTCCTCGTTTTTATTGTCCCACTTTATATTTTAAACTATCTCGGTTCACTGAATCACTCCAGCAAAGGTCTTGTCCCAACTGCGGCCTGGGCCGTACCCCTAGCTCTTTGGTGCTTTATTATTGTTAACTGGGTTGGCTATAAATTGTACTTTGAAAACTGGAAATGGTATTCGTTCTTAGAGGTGTGCATTTGTAAACGCGAGTGTAAATGCAAGAGTATTGGCCTTACGATTGGCGTGGGCATAGCAGTCTTTTTGCTATGTTTGATAACGATTATCGATAGCCTTCCACAAGCGCTTCTTATTACTTGTATTGCAGAAAGCGTAGTCGTTACTATTATGAAAGTCTGTTGTTGTTGTAAATGTGAACGTCGTTCTTGGAAATGTTTTTTCAGTTACATCTATGTTTTGATAACCGCGGTGTTTTTAGGTTTCGCGTTGGTAATGTTTCTGGCCTTGCCAACAACAGATAAAGCAAAGACTCCTGAGGAATCTCGCAATAAAAACGAAGAATGCATATGGCTCGGTTTCTTCGACTACCACGATCTCTGGCACTTTTTGTCTTCATTTGGTCTGCTGATGGGAGCACACCTTCTGATGTATGCCAGCCATACTGCTCCCAGCAACGCTGTCGGTGAGGGTTGCAGTCAGCAACAGCGTAGCGAGGGAATCAGCAGCCCTGGTTTCCAGTGTCAGGGCAACGAAATACCCATGGAGGCGATTTCCAATCAATCAGCGTGATTGTGCTTTTACTGTCCCATAGACGAAAACAAAGGCTTACGCATTAAAATGTTAAAATCAGGCTAAATAGAATTCGGAGAACTGCTCATTAAAAAGTCTCAAAAGAATTAGTGACCTATACATTTCCTTCGTTCAAACTCTTTTTCCTAGCCTGTTTTGAGGTCTGATTTTAATATATGAAGTTCTACAGTACTACTGCAAAACAATATACTATGTTGACCAATCAGCGACCGTTGAACCAGATTCCGAACAAACCTACGTACGTCATCAGTATGGAATTTTTGGGCTGAATCGCAGACTTGATGAAAGAGGAGAGACGGCTGTCCTGAAAATTGTTTGTCAAAACCGTTACTTCAAAATTGCTTCGCATGGCGGCAGAATGTATACGTGTGTGTCGTTTCTCGGTTAGTGGTGTGTGGACCTCTAGAAACATTGCACCTTTCTAACCTCGGCTAAGATAAGAAAATCTGAATAAACAACTGACCTCGTTCAGAAATGAGTTGAATTATTTTTGGGGAAAAAACCTATTTTGTATTCTATAAAGGGCACTCAGTACTTTAAACAAAGATGATTTTAAAATGCCTTAAAATCTAGTCATGCATTTATATGTAGATATCCAATTGCATTAACCTTTTTGATCCATTGATTTTTGATTAGCGGTTATTGTATGCAGTTACTTAGAAGCTCATGGACCTCTCGGGAATAAGCCACTTTTTATCGTTGACAAAGAACTTTCAGTCAACTGACAGAGAAAAAGCCTTTTCTATTCACAAACTCAGTAAGGCCACTTAACGGCGAGCATTCATAAATAGCATTTTCATGAAAATCCCAATGACAACATGAACAGACTTTTTGTAAAGTGAAATGTGGGTCTTGATGTAGGTCTGATGTTGTTCGAGAGTCGATTGCAATAGGTTGCGTGTACACAGCCGCCCCCTCCACATATAAGAGAGGAGGGGCGTCTGTTCGAGTCTGTGCTGACAGAGTCAAGAGCCTAGACACAGTAATCGTTTTTTAACCCTATTCAATACATATTATATCCAGGAAGAAAAGTTAATGTTGAATAGTAGAATTTTAGAACATCATTATCTTGCATTAGAATTTAGTATTTTAGTAGCTTGTTTGTACTTTATGCAGCCACGATACTTGCTTGAAACATAGTCGTGTATTAGCGATACACACGCTGACGTCACTTTTGAGTGAGTTTACGCAACAGGACGGCAAAACGTTCAGGTATGTGACAAACGTAATAGGGCTATAAATTGCGTGTTTTGTCGTGATCTTCACTTAACGCTAATTTTTTCTGGTCGTTTACATAACAAAAACTGTTTAAAGAAAGGTGAAGTTTTTGACGGAAACGAAATTATTGTCACGCATGTCACACAAAGTTTGTCGTCTTCTTTCCTGTCCCGTCCTGCTGCGTACTGCTGATGTGCCACTGGTTCTTTGAAACGAAAGAACTATCGGGGATTTAGAGTGTCTGCGACGTACAGGGGCACCCAACGACAATTTTCGGTAGAATATCTGTTCGGAAGACGATTTGAGATCTAGAATTTTCGAAACATTTGTTGTAAAATTTCTTGCTTGCCTGCCTCTCCTAGGATTTTCGAACTTCCAAAAAATGGTATAATTGCCCATTTTCAACGGATTTTTACCTTAAAAAGGTCACCTAGAATTTTCGGAAGCCTTTTTCCTGGCTGAAATTTTCGAAAAGGTAAGTTTTGATCCCTATAATTTTCGGATCACTAGGCTTTCAGCTAGGAAATCCGAACAGATGAAAAACTTTTAGGGGATAAAAATATGCCTATATCTACCGTTTATATACTAAAATACGTTTATCAATGCAATGTTTAAGTGGTTTTGAACTTTATTCTCGTTGGGTGCCCCTGGACGTAGACTAATAGGACTTGTGGCGGATCTGACGTTATGGGAGAACGGTCTTTTAAAGTTACTTTCTCAAACTCATTAATAATTCATAAAGAAAATTCAAAGGAAATTAATGTTTAATGAGTGTTTGGAAATCGGATGAAAAACTGCTCATTTTTGCATCCTTAATTTCTCCTTCAAAAATGATTTTGTTTGAGAAGAAATATCAAACATTCGACACAGTGTTTCATCACCAGATGAAACACCTCGAAGTTCGTCAAAAATACTCCGCTGCGCGTCGTATTTTCAACTCTCTTCTCGGTGTTTCATCTGGTGATGAAACACTGCATCTCATGTTTGATATATTACTTCAAATATGACTTAGTTAATAATATACTAGCTTCTTAACTATGAAATAAAAGTGTTTGTCAGATGTACTGCGTGTGAATTCAAAAACCATTAAACTTTTAAAATTTTCTTCGCTAAGTCTCGTTTTGTCTGTATCTTCAGCTGCACTGTTAACCTACTTGCGAAAGCGAGAGGTAATAATGACTGAACTTTAGCGAAGTATTCTTCTTCGCGTCATGATCGGACCGAGACGTCCAGGCCCATGAGGAAAAGGGACAAGGCCAATACCCAGCAATCTCGACCCTCAACAGGCGATTTACTGTTAAAAGTAAGACAAAGGAGGCGGATATTTTTTGACTGAAACAACAGATCTGACTAAGTGCTGCAGAAGTGAGCTCCTGGAAAATAAAGCTTTTAAAAGCTTTTAAAAGCCAAAGCAATCAAAGCTGTGTAAATCGAACAGAATCAGGTCAATCAGTGCATGGAACCTTGCGTTTCGTGTTCTTATCTCCCCTGTTGTATTTTTTCTTGAATGGAAAATGTGCGAAAATCTTCATCAGGCTTCATTATAAATCGGTATATCTCAAAGAGTTACACAACAGTGACACAACGACCAAGAATACTAATTTAGCCTGCGAAAACATCTGTTTCTCCTAGCTCTTCGCCGCTGGGGACGTTTCGCGCGGAGGAACTTCAGCGGCGAGGAGAAACGGGTGTTCTCGTAGGCTAGAATACTATAACCGACAACATACAGAGCCGTACATACAACATACAGGGGCAGCTGAAGTGTATTACTGGTAATAATGCAAAGGGAAGGGAAATGATCGCACTGAACGGGCGGATGTTTTCCACAGCGTGACTTATTTGCTGCGGAGCGACCGAAGGGAGCGAGCAGCAACATAATCAGGATTTAAAGGAAATATATATAAAGGGGCGACGAATTCTCGAATTCATCACTTTTTACCACAATGCATTGCATTTAACCACACTTTTTACCACAATGCATTGCATTTAACCAGAGTGCATTGCGCCACGAACAGCTCAAATAAAAACAAGGAAAAGTTCGGTGGGTGAGAGAGTGCATCGTTCGCTGCTCAGACTTACAGTTTTCTTTGTGACAAATTTTCTACAGCACGGTTAGAGGTCTTACCAAATTTTAAGACACGCAGGAGTCTTTCAGACGAGTACGATGGTTAACTTGGGGACTGGATTTCAATTCAAGAGCCTTTGACTCGTCCAGGTGTTAAACCTGACGAGAAGATAAGCATTTGCTCTTCGACTCCGCAACACGGGGGATATACAAATTCCAGCTTGCTAGAAGGTGTTGTGAAAGTGAGAAAATGTCATGCAATGCTATTCTTAAGAAACTGTATGAGGCGAAAATGGATGTGATTTGGACCATTCGCTTCAAAGTAACAGCGGAAATCGCGATAACAAAACATATGTTTTGTGTCCTACTTTGCAGACGAGGACGTGTATCGGCGTTTTGAAAGGCATAATTATGTTCTTTCATTCATTCATTGCCTTGGAATATGCGTTTACATTGTTTTTTCACTGTTAATAGCTCGGTTAATGCGGCTGGCGATCATCTTGCCGGCGAAAGTTTCATGCAAAAGGAATAAAATGAAAGACTTTTCCTACTGTGTGCGTTATCAGCCTCTGTGGTGTAGTGGTTAGGCGTAGTCGCGTCGAGTCGAAGGTGCCGGGCTCGAGTCCTACCGAATTGTTTTTTCTTACTTTCTTTTTTTTCCGTTTTTTGTGCTGTTGTTTTCTATAAATATATATAAATAACTGTTACTTAATAAAGTGCAACGAACAGCAAGAAAAGTATTGTGTTTCCAGAGAAAATATCGTGCACCGTATATTAAATATATGGATAAACAATCTGAATTTCTATTATTTCCTACCATTTACTGTGGGAAAACCAGAGTTGATAACCACTTGATCATTTTCTAAACAACGTTCCCACGAGTTCTTTCTATAGACTGATAGTAATTATTCTAGTACTTTCCAACACGTAAATAGGACATTCAATGTCATTTTTTATTCTTTTGAGTCTCACTGCCTAACTAATGCCAGTATCAACAGAATGTGCCGCAGCATTACTATCTTTTAGATACCCTAGTTCAAAGAGCTAGAGAGTGACCCACTTTGAATTAATATGAACTTTAAGTTTTTTCACGACGACTTCGAACTGTTTAAGAGCTTGAAATGTTTTCACGGCGACCATAAACTTTTACACGGCTTGAAATTTTGAAGGTAGCCGTGACTTTTACATGCCGTGTTCATAGTGCATAAGAGAAATCTCACTCACTTTCCACTAATTTTTCTCATTTTTACGGCCAGGACCGTAAAAATAGGAATAGCGTGAAATTCAGTGGACAAGCCCCCAATTAGCGTGAAGGATCGCATGACTATGTCTCTATGTTGGACACTTCGAGGTAGAACAATAGAAAGTTCATTGACAATTTAAGCTGGATAACTACCGACATCTGTAAAGCTAGTGAGGTCAAATAGACAGTATTTCACTTATAGCTCAAATTACTTTTTCCACGAAACCGAGTAAGTCTTATTAATACTGAGCGCAACGTTACCTTTTAAGAAGCTACATGTTCAAGATGTTTTTTTGCGCTGCAGCCTTCCTTTTTGCGATCTCTTTCAGCTTTGAAAAGCCATTTATGGCTCAAGCGAAACTTTATAACGCTGACTGCACCTATGTGGAGTTAAAAACATCACAAAAAAATGGAAACAAGACTTCACTGATGCACTTAACTTCCCAGATTCCTTTATCAAGAAACCTAGTCTACTCCTGTACCGTAAAGACAGACAACACAAACAGTATTTTATATTTGAGAGGTAAAAGAAACAAAGATTCAAAAGAAGGTAAGTTAAATTGACAGTCGTAAGGTAGCAATTGCAGAGTTAAATTTGCTTTTTGCGCCTCCCACACAACTAGTGCGGAGATAACTAACGGAAGTCAGGCCGGGGGGGGGGGGGTATTGCCATATATGGGCTATATAGGTATGTGCCGCTGTGAAGGGTATGGTTTTCAAGCAGTTTACTCTAGGATAGGGTATATAAATCAGAACATTCGGTCCAGAAAAGGGTATCATTTTTCAAGAAACTGATCAGTTGGTTGAAGATTTGATCTAGACTAGGGAAACAGGTACTCTAGGAATGGGGGGATTTGGAGAGTTTACTCTAGTATAGGGTAGCAAAATTTAGCTGAATTGGCTCTGGTATAGGTTAAGGATTCCAGGGTCCCAGCGGCACATCCCCACCTAGAAATTCCTAAAGTACCCCCCCCCCCCGGGAAGTCAGGTAAACATACAATGAAATGTGGATGAAGGTAAACTGATGATGACTAGTGCTGACGGATATATATAGTACTCAAAAGGAACGTCATTCAACTCTCCCTTGTGTCAAAGTTGATTTTGACCGTTCTTCCGCTACGAGTAGTAACTGCTCGTAGAAAAGTCATTTCATCCTCGTTGTCGTCCTTGTTTAACGCATAAGCTTTGCTCCCTTCTGCAGACTTTTCTAACCAACGGAGTCTTATTTCAGCTTATTTCAATCGAGGATCCTAGACCACTCTTTTCGGACTCAGGTTTCAAACCAGCGTACTCAATGATGTGGCGCTTAAGAGCTTCAAGGGATGAATGCTTACTGTTTATGGATATTCGAATTCATCTTACCTCCAAGAAAACCCATGGATCCCACAGATTTAGACTCTACATAATATATTACTCCTTCCAATTTAAAAACTTGTCCCTCTAATTCAAAAACTGCCAGCCATTGCAACCAAGATCCCCACCCAAATCCCACATGTGTTAGCTCCACGAAAATAAGAGTTGAATTCCCCAACTACGCCCCCTGACACAAATAAAACACAATTCGCTTTTTGGCACGGAGAGAAGTTTATTAAGGATACGAGCAAAAAGTAAACATCAGCCAACGATATGCCTAATAAACCTCTCTGCCACCCTATAACATCAAATAAAATCACCCAGGGTGGGTGGGTGGGAAGAAGAAACGAAACAGTACGGTGCAAAACAATGGTATTAGCCTGCGCGCAGACGAAATTAAACTCTGGTTAACTCCGTCTGCGAAACAGCGCCGAAATCCTTGTTCTGGACTTCCAGCTGTGTACCCAGATTTGAGTACGCGCCACGATTGGCCAGTTAAAAAAGGCCTTTGTTTTGTTTGTCGTGATTGCCAATCAGGTTGAAGGGGAATTCGAAACGCACTTCCGGTAATTCGTTGAGTCCGTTGGGGGTCCAGAACAAGGATCTCTGCGCTGCTTCGCAGACGGTACTAATCAGAGTTTAGTTATCGTCTGCACGCAGGCTACAATGGTATACGCTCGAGGTAAAAACTGACTCTAAATGAAACACGAAACTCCTATCACCTGATACTAAAGGGTGTGGGTTGCGCAATTAATCCCTTTGAACACGTGCTTGTCCAAAGGTAGTCTGCTACACAGCCGTTTTTAGTGTCGTCACGCAATGCTTCTAAAAATACTGACTCATTAGCCTGAGTATCAGGCCTTCCTAAGGGTCTAGGGGAGAGGAGATTTTAGATCTTTCCTCTTTTCCCCCAGAAACGCCTGATACTCAGGCTACTGACTCGTCAGCTCAGGGAAATAGTTTCCCAGCTCGTGATCGCAGACGCTCTTTTCTCGGCGGGTGAAATAGGAACTTTCTCAGGCTAGGTAATAGTTTAAATTTTCGTGTGGCAATGTTTTTGCCACGACATGTACTGAGGAACGACTGCCCGGGGGGGGCACTTGGGTATTTTTTGGGTGGGTATGTGCCGCCCGGGACTCCAAATTGGCACCCCGTTCTAGAAAAAATTTCTCCTAAAATTGATACCCCGTTTTAAAAATGGGCCAATTTTTTATACCCCGTTCTAGAAATGGGCCAATTTTCTATACTCCGTTCTAGGGTGCAACAAAGAGTACAACGGTTTGCTTGTTAACGCGTTGAACCGTATTTTTAAAAGCAATCTGTCCTCAGTGTGTCCTTGAATACTTTCAAATGGCTGCTTGCAAAAGTGGAGCTTTCGTGCGTTCGAAATATTATACCCCGTTCTAGAAAACGCCTCTGAAATGAATACCCCGTTCTAAATCAGGAGCTTCAAAATCACGACCCCTTTGGGCCGCACATACCTGTATAGGTAATGTATGGGAGTACCCCCCCGGGAACGACTGTAAGCAGTGGCAGATCCAGGGAAGGGGCCCGGGGGGCTCGCCTCCCCTTTATTGTTAGACGAAACTGAGGCCCGAAGGGCTGAAAAACATTTTTTTTGGAGACCGGGCCCCCCTCATCTGTCGGTCTGGATCCGCCACTCATTGTAAGTGCCGAAACGAAGCCCAACTTAGGCCGCGCTTAAAAGGGGGGAATTTCATATATCCCATGATGCTTCGCGCCAAATTTCTGTCTTCTCTCCGCGGTGGAAAGAGCGTTCGAAGGTTTCGAGGGAGACTTTCAACGACCTGAATTTCAAGATTCAGCTCATCCAAGGTAAGTTTCAATGAGCCCTGTTAATCTTTGGTATCTTATTAATAATGTAAAATGGTTCCATGGTCATTTCACGCATTATTGCTCCCGTGTAGGACCCTGTTAAGCCATGCTGCTTTAACTCGTTAGTGAATATTTTTTTAGATGACTTTCAATCTTCGAAAACTGTCTTTATTCTAGCAAGGTTTAGCCCTAATAAATTATTTCAATCGGCGGACAAGGGGTGCTTGATACTAGTTCCACGCTCCGACCTCTTTCGACCTCGCGATTTTTATGGGTTTGATCGTTTTGAAATATCGCATTTTCTGCCCTTTCTCCGCTAAGATGCAAGACGAAGGTTTCAATTTCTTTATGCTAAGTCCTGCGAAGATTGGACATTTTTTCTTGAATTCGCTCTTTTTTCGCCGATCAAAGCACAAATATTATCTCTTGAGGGTATGATGAATGTTTAAATTCAATGGTTTATAGTTATTAATGATTTTTTGTCTCATTATTTTAGGTAAAATTGGTTTCTCTTGGTGGCTTCCGGTCGCAACCGCGCGTGGCGAACTTGAAATATACAGGCCAGCAAATGTCATGGAATAGCATGCCGTAGGACCTCAACCGGCGTGTAAAACCTTCTAAGACATTTTGATAATTCTTTTAGGATCCATTGTAGTGAAGAAGAGGGTGTTTTTGTATATGTATTTTGCCATTTTTTAATAAAGCTTTTTTCTGTTTATGTTTGGCAATGATGCTTAGCTGGTGTTGTGTTACGAAAAATATAGATATGTCTTTGTTATTTTTATTGTTTGTTGGAGCTATTTCCCTCCTTTGAATTTTATCTCCGATAGACGTCACTTTGCACTTTAACGGTCTCGGTATTTTCGACTACATAAGCCGAGCTTGTTGAAGTAAAAGCATGTGCGGTCACCGTACGGTTGATGTACTCTGATGTACTGCATCGAGGAATTATTGAACTGACAATATGAACACCGCGATCACCAACAAGCAACGAAGAGAACTCTCACACCTAGAATATGTATTTACTTCAAGACAAGTAGGTGGAAATCGCTTGTAAATCCATGGAGAGCTTTATCCAAGCACGTTAAAACAGGACGTACCGAAGCAGGGACCTTCCTCGCTAGCTTCTAAGAACATTTGTGTGGACTCCGTTGCTATCGTAAGGCTAGTTAACTCATAATCGGCGGCCGAAACAGTCTCTTTGCCTTAACAAGAGATATATTTGGAATAGTAAAACGAAAATCGTAAATAGATCGACACAGCAAAGGTACAGAAAGTCTTATCGGCAAAACAAGTCGCTTTGCACTGCTGTTCAATTGTCACGTCCCTGTTGAACTGACAGCATCACGTGCGTTCGGCAGCTTGATAATATAGTATGAAGCGATGCATCATGGGATATATGAAATTCCCCCCTTTGCCGCGCTTTAAGAAATCATTGGGCCTCCAGATCTCTTTCTAAGTGGGTTATTTTAAAAAATGTTTCTTGTCCTTATCATTCCCTGATAAAACTGAGGAAAATAAACTTGGACCAAGGTAAATTTTGACCTAATACATAGCAAATGTATTCATTTTTTTCTCTTTGTGATGCAATGCCCTAGCTGGTTATTTGGCTCTAATAATTAAAAATAGTGAATTAACTTCCATCTCCTCTTTTGGAGAGATTTGTATATCAATCGAGCACGTGGACCTTTCTTCAGAGGTAGGCTGACTTGCAACTGACTTGTCTTTTGTGCTTAACTGATCAGGCCATCTCAATATCTTTTAGCACCAGTTGTATAGCTTTTCATCTGTTTGTTTGTCATGTTTTCACTTGGGCTTACAAGTTCTTTGTTAGACTAGATCCCAAATTTAACCTATCCCGTAGGGCCTGGGATGATTGCATTTTATTATCTACGGGTAGGGTATGTAATTTCCCAGTGAGGCACATGCTAGCTTTAATCTCTTAAAACTATCTTTAATTTACACTTTACACCGGAAATACTCAAATTTGTGAACCTTTGGTTACCTGTTGTTTTTAGTTTTCTGTTTTAAACATTACTCTCCCCACCATTTCATCATATTGCTTATATTTTTCGTTCCTCATTAAGACTGAGAGGGGGAAAGGTTTCATTTTTTCTTTTGATAAAGAGAAGGGAAGTAAAAAAATTCTGTTTGATTGGGGGGAGGAGGTATGAAACATTTTTGCCCCGTTAAAAAATACCCTTCCCCCCCAACCCTGCAGTATGAATGCAGCCTAACAGTGTACGTACGGTTCGCATCTTCGATTTGTTTGTAACTGTTTAGAAGGCCTTACGATGCTACCTGTTTTAATTATCAATTCATGTATAGGTATTTTCTATTTTTTGCCATTGCCTTGGATTCCTTCATTCATTCCTTCATTCCGGATTGTAAATGTTCGGGGTTTGAAAGGGAATGATAGGGTGCTCATTATACCCCTAATATTCCAACCCACTCCACCCCCCCAAAAAGTTTACCACTCTATTATTAGAACTCGCAAATTTCCATGTTTTTATTTATGTCATTCCTCCCCAGCCCCCGAAAATGTCATAGCCCAGAACATGCATGCGAATGATAGTGTCAGTTAATGCTGTAATGGCCCAAACTTTTCCACCAGGCGTGACAAATCGTAACACAGGCGTCAGTAGGCGTGAGATCCAAGTTTTCGATCCGCAGGCGTGACAATCACGCCTTAGGCGTGACACTTGGCAGGTATATTTTCGCCTAGTGTTAACCGCAATGCACTGTTCCTCAATAGTTACCATCAATTACTGTGATTTTCTGTTAACAGGGTCTCTTCACCTATCAGTATATGATGAAGAAGAGTCCCTCCTACAAGGTCACCTGGACATTCCAAAATCTGCAATTAGCGAGCGGTGGACAGGGCTACCGTTATGTCCTTCTCGTTCAAGCAACGACTTCGTAAAAAAATACCTTACGTTTTCAGGAACACCTGGGGTACGTTTCACGGTAGAAGCATCTCAAGACTATGAAATAAAACTCAATGAACAAAAAACGTATCACATATTCGGGTGGAATACTGTAAACGTCTTTCAGTTTATACCACCTAAAGACATCTCAAAGACACAGCTTGATATAACGGTTACGTCAGAATCGGATGTCCCCGCTTACTTGAAAGTTTCACGGATCTGTCAGGATGTTAATAAGGACCACATCAGAAATGTGGACTATAGAGGCGAGTCCATTCGTCTTTCGTTCGAAAAGAAAGGACGTATCACTTTATCCAAGGTATCTATTCCCCCTTTGACCGACCCCACAGCTATCTGGTACATTGGCCTTGCACTGAACAACGCTGCAGGTACCACGCCATTAAATGCTAGTAAAACTGGAATATTAACGGTGACAAGATCATTTAATTACTCGTATGAGTGGCCCATGTCATTCATATGCTTGGTACCCTTAGTCGGTGTCATTGTAGCTGTCTGGGCTCTGTGCTGTTTTAAAGAACCACACGTCAGTCCATGGGCTTCTCACATTGAACCAGTGACCCGTAAAGACGTCTGCAGAGCCATGTGTAAAGTTCTCTGTACCTACTGGTTTGCAGGAGGACATAAAACGTACTCGTACATCACATGCATTGTCGGTTCCGTCTTGATGGTGGGAGCTTTTCAGTTCGTCTATGCAAATTGGTATTTGATGATTCAAGAAGGCGATAGAGACGATTGTTACTACAACGACTTTTGTTACAGGGTATCAAATTATGATATTCCGTTCAATTCAATGAGTAGCAACTTCGTTTATATAGTGCATGCCTTTATTTTAGCGTTGTCTGTTTGGTACATGGAGTCAGAATTACTGGCTCGCTGCAAAAAAATAACAGAAAATGCGGAATGTAATAGTACTGAGGTGCATAAGAGGAAAATTTCCTTTTCAATAGGTTACGCTTTTTCCTGGGCATTGCTCTTCGAGGGGTTGTTTTCAATGCTTTATCATCTCTGCCCGACTAAGATGACGTTTCAGTTCGATTTAGCATTTATGTTTGTTATTTCAGGCTTGATTGTCGTTGTCATGTATAATGGCATTCAGTTAAACCATGCTGGAGAGACGGGAGGTCATGTGGGAGCATCAAATTTCTACCTTGGTTTTATAGTTCCACTTTATATTTTAAACTATATCGGTTCACTGAATCACTCCAAAGAAGGGTTAATTCCAACGGCGGCCTGGGCTACACTACTTTTTCTTTGGGTTTTCTTTATCTTCTACTGGGTTGGCTGTAAATTGTATCTTAAAAACTGGAGCTTGTTAATCTTTTGGCGCTGGGTTAGAACCAAATGCTGCAAACGGTTTTGTACAGATTCTCAGAACCGTATGAAAGTGTGCAAATTTATTTGTCTAATGATTGGTCTTATCCTCGCTGTCTTGATGTTTTTTCTGTTTAGCGTTACAAAGTTTATCGGTAGCCTTCCACAAGCGCTTTTGTTCGCCTGCATTACAGAGAGCGTAATTGTTATTTGTTGGAAACTCGTTAAATCATGCTATTGTTTATGGCGTGACCGTGGTTATAAAAAATTTATTTGCGTTATTATTTATGTATTAACAACCCTTGCATTAGGAATTTTAGCCTTGGTATTTTTCATTGTCTTTCCGACAACAGATAAAGCAGAAACTCCAGAGATATCTCGTAATAAGAACCACGAATGCATTTTTATGGATTTCTATGACTACCACGATGTTTGGCACATCTTGTCTTCATTTGCTCTGCTAATGGGAGTGCACATTGTGATGTTTGCTAGCTATGACCCTGATACCATAGCACCTGATACCATAGCACCTGATACCATAGCACCCGATACCATAGCACCCGATACCAAAGCACCTGATACCATAGCACCTGATACCACAGCACCTGATACCATAGCAGGAGGTAACCTAATCAGTAATTATGGAGCAATCGAATTAAACTCGAACCATTGAGATGAGCGCATAGAAATCATTGCGCATGCTTTCTCAAGGTAAGGCGGGTAGGTTATTATCCGTGATCTAATACCGTAGAAAGTATATAGAACAGTAGAGTACGAGCAATCTCTTAACTTTTGTTATTAGTCTATCGTGACAAACACGCACGAAGGATGAAAAAGGTCGCGTGTTTAAGGTGCCTCGATACAGTTTTTCAGGGTCAATACCTCCCAAGTTTGATCATAAACTACGTCGCCAAAAACAAAGTTTTGGAAAAATTGCCACCACAGTTGTATTAGATAAAGATGAAAATTTGTTATAATCAGGGTTGCAACGGCATCGGAGTTGTCATAGCAACGAAATGACGCTATTACCTAATTTACTTGCAGCAGTATATCTCGGCACTGGAACTGTTCTTCGAAAATCATCATTCACGGGAGCTTTTTCCACCAATAGCAGCCTCGATGTTCGTGAAGTTTAAGCGAAATCTGTAAGAGCGTTATCGAAATATTTTGGGATAAAGATTTTGTGGTTAGAAATACAGTAAAAAAATGGACAATCTTGGTGTTAGGCTGTTATCTGTAGAAAACGAAGCGCTTTTGACCTGCAATTTCACCTCAGTAGTTTCAATCTTTTTAAAAACGTGTATAAAAGATGAAGGAGATAGCTCCAGCCGATTGCTAGAAAGATGGATTTGATTAGTATGTATCGAGGCGCTCTTGTTAGCGGTTTTTTGAACATTTTGGTATACTTTAACAAATTAGCGAATAATTTTTAAACCGCTCGATAGATTTTTTTAAAAATTTAAGATTCTCGAGATTAACCTTCCTTTTATATGATCTTTTAGTTTCAAGATTATTGATATACTGTCAAGCAGTAAAATAAGGGCTACAATTCGATAATATTTTGGCAGAAAGTTTGTGTTTACAATTGTGAGTCTCTCATTATTCAGGGTATTGTGTCCAAGTTTCATATTTTCGTGCACAACAATAGCTAGCATTTTTGCATATTTCAAATGCATTGTTAGTTACTACTGTTCACGTGAAAATGAAACTTTCAGACAATGCCTTGAATAATTAGAGGCTTTCACTTGTAATGACGAAACTTCCGATAAAAAAGTAGCGAATTATAGCCCTTATTTTACTGCCTTACAATATATCAATAATCTTGAAACTAAAAGGTCATAAAAAAGGAAGGTCAATCTCGAGAATCTTAATTTTTTAAAAAAATCTATCAAGCAGGTTTAAAAATTATTCGCTAATTCCTTAAAGTAGACCAAAATGTTTACAAAACCGCTAACAAGAGCGCTTTGATACATACTAATCAAACCCTTCTTTCTAGCAATCAGCTGAAGCTATCTCCCATGATCTTTCACACACGTTTTTTAAAAGATTGAAACTACTATGAGGTGAAATTTCATGTCGAAAGCGCTTCATTTTCTACAGATAACGGCCAAACAACAATATTGTCCATTTTTTTTACTGAACATCGAGGCTGCTATTGGTGGAAAAAGCTCCCTTGAATGATTTTCGAAGAACAGTTCCCAGTGCCGAGATATACTGCTGCAAGTAAATTAGGTAATAGCGTCATTTCGTTGCTATGACAACTCCGATGCCGTTGCAACCCTGATTATAACAAATTTTCATCTTTATCTAATACAACTGTGGTGGCAATTTTTCCAAAACTTTGTTTTTGGCGACGTAGTTTATGATCAAACTTGGGAGGTATTGACCCTGAAAAACTGTATCGAGCCACCTTAAGCCACCATCGCTTCTCGCGTCTCGCAAAGTATGCACACAACTAACCCACTCGGTGCGCTGTGGAACGAGAAATAAGAGACTGCTCGCCTACGTTATAAAACAGATGATGTCCTATGTTAAAAATGGCGCAGGGCTGGCGTAAAAGATGAGAAAGAACTTTGATGTTCTATTCCAATCAGCAACGTGGGTAAATAGTGAATAATTACACTCTTTATATACTTCTCCACGAAAAAATTGATCCTCATTCTTCGCTCTGTAGGGGGTGTGTCGGACCCTGTTTACCCAGTTTTCCTTCAGTGTTCTTAAACTACCGATCTTGATTGACGGGTAAAAAGGAACTGCGAACATTTTTCATTTTATAAGTGTAACGTGTATCTTAAACTCTACACTTTCGTATTCATATTCCAGTGATAGTAACACAAAACTTTCCTTGCTAGCAGAGGTCTCTCACGGCAAGACAACGGGTAGCGTATTGAGGAGCAGCTCGTAAGGTCTCTCCTAATTGGTCGCAGGAAACAATAGCATGTCATTCTTCCAATTATTTTAGTATTGTTTGGGGTCAGGGAAACGCACTATTGGTGATTACATGACCTCAAAAATGATAGAAGAGATAGAGACCTCTGCCGGCAGCCTATGAGTTTTTTCTTTCCTCCCCTTCTTCCCTTGCCATGAGAGACCTCTACTTACAGGGAAACACCAACGGATGTTTCATGCTAATGAAAGACTTTATGTGATTACAGGAAAGATGTAATATTTAGTTTTCTCAATGTACTCCAGAAAAAATATACTCGATTCGACCCTTAAAAGTCGACCAGCTTTCATTACTGCAAGGATAGAAACTGCACCGCCAACTGCTTTGTACATGTATTAGATTGTTTAAGATTGAAGTTTGGCCATCTTATTGTCAACGGCAAAACGAGGTTTTTGGTTTGTGGTTTCACGTTACCTTTCTGCCTACGTGTGGGACTTTCGGTAGCTCGCGGCTGCCATGTTTGGTTTCATTCTTGCGGTAAATCACTTACCTCTAGAGCATGGTCTACCCGTACAAACGTGAACCACAAACCGCAAACCTGACGGCAAGGCACTAGTTACGTGACTTCTTGACGGTGGCGGTTTGCGGAAATTACCGAACAAAATCGATCTTAAGTATAAGGTCTACGACAAATATCAATGTCATTAGTTTGAAAAATAATGTGTAAGGTATCCTTTATCTGTATGTACGTACATTTTTCTAGCAAGACAGTTAACATGTAGGATCTCATGTTAGATAAAACAGCTTTGAACATTGTTCCAGGCCAATATCATTGTTAGCGTATAAGTTTTGGTATTATTAATCGCTATTGTACCGTAGGGCATGGGTTTTTGATTCAAATCTATCGGCAGTGGCACATTAATATCAAAGTATTACTCAATGTCCTTTAAATTGTTATTTTGGAACCTATTAAACTTTGTTTGTCCCAAGATTTATCTCTTAACTGTACAAAGATCGACAAAGGGTAATGAGAAAGACGATGGCGGCTTTGAGTCAACCTTTACTGCGCTTTTCACAAACATGCGAACTCTAAAGTTCTGAAAGCCGCCTTCACAATTGCGTTTTTCCCTGCCGTCAATCATAATTACGATCACAAGCAACGAACCTTAAAACACAGAAACACACAAAACGGATCAAATCCACCAATCACAAATCACAAACCTTGACCTTTTGAACCCGTTAAAGCAATCGTCAGCTGGCTTTTGAACTTCAGAATTCGCATGTTTGTGAAAAGCGCAGTAAATTAGGTGCTAACGCTCTTTCCTTCTTAGCCAATTGCAACGAAGCTTCTGTATGTAGTTATAAGGAGTAAAGGGAGGGTACCTTTATTAGGTCTTGGGAGGAAAAATAATACCAGCATTGAGTTATAGCCTGAGTGAGCTCTGTTCAAGGGAGGGGCCAGGAAAGGCGTCGCTCTCGACCCTTCACAATCTCCTCGCCCATTCCTAGCACACTTCCCACGTGCTTGCTCGCATGTTAACGCTACTGTTAAGAAGTCTACAAGAAAGACAAAAGCTTTGTAAATCCCTCCCATATTTTCACATCTTCTGTAATCAGGCTTTTAGCCAGACGTTGAAAACTGGCCATCCAGAAGGCATGTTTTCCCATAAAGGTATAAGAGATTAAGTAAATTTTCCTTGTGTTTCTTTCAAAAATGGCCGTCCATAGGACCGCTGGACAGCTTTCTGGCTAAAACCTTGTCTGTGATATAAAACTAAACAGTCACAAGGCTAACCAATAAACGAGAAGTTTCCCTCATCGCGTTTGACTGTTCGGAGATTTGTTTCCAAAGTTTAATAGGTTACCTATTAAGTCGCCAAGGAAACCCTTCGTCTCGGTCTCCCAATTTTTTACACTGGTAAACAGCCCCTAACATTAAACTATTTTCGAGGCCTTCACTTACGTAACCCGGAATGATTTCCAAAACGCAGTTTTAAAAACTGTCCGCCATTAGCGACAGTAAGGAAGAAAAGACTTCTTTGAAATCAAGTTTATGTTCCTCAAGTAATCATTAGTCATATTTTCTTCCATTTTTTAATTATATACACAGATTTGCTTAACAAGGAACTGAGAGATTTGTTGCTCAAAAAAGACTTTTTTTTAAATCGAACAGGGGAAGAAGACTATACCGAAATTCGAAGTGAACAAAAAAGTTATTTTTTCTGAGACTCAGAGGAACTACAGTAGAACCCCGGTCGAACTCTGAAAGGAAATTTAGTTCGAGTTACCGGGGAATTCGAGTTATCCGAGTTCGAGTCATCGAGGTTCTACTGTACATGAATCCTTGACTGTTTTACATTATAATGTTGTATTAAATTTCGCGATTTTAACTTTTGTGCGTTCTAATTTTCGCAAGAATTACGGAGAATATAGTTAAAAGGCTACAAGAAACCTTACTTTTATCAATTGACCCCAAAAGGTAGCTCCTTGCCATTTAAGCCAGCGCGTAAATTCATCACAGCCAGCTCCACCATTTTCATTCTCGTGTTTGCAGTTGCTGATCCAAAGTGTGGCGTCAAAGTAACGTTGGCCATTTTCAACAATGGGTGATCTCTCGGCAGAGGCTCTGGTTCTGTCACGTCAAGCGCTGCGGCTCTTATCACTCCATTCTTCAATGCGTCAGTCAAGTCATCGTGATTAACAACTCCTCCACGTGCAATATTAACCAATGTTGCTGTTGGTTTCATTAGGGACAGCTCCTTTGCTGCTATCAAGTGTCTCGTTTCAGATGTAAGCGGTGTACATAGTACTACAAAATCTGACTGAGGTAGCAGATCTGACAAAGTTGTGCAAAAATGGGCATCTGGAAAGTAAGGTAGATTAGTATCAGAACATTTTTCCTCTGCCTCATCGGTTGAAGAATAAATTGATTCAATTCAATGGTTGGTTGTCATCTGGTGGGGCATTGCCCTCTTTGGCCTAAAAAATGGGTATGTGGTTTTCAGGCCGGTCTTGACTCTAAGGGCCTCTTCATATGAGCCCGGTTGACCGGGCTGACTCGGTTACTGGGATGAATTTTGCCTTGCGTTCATATGCAAAATTTCAGCCCGGTTTCCGAGATGAAAAAAGGTCAAAGATCCTGGTGACGAGTTCTGGCGCCAAATTCGAGAAACAAAGCAAACATGGAGAAACACAAAATTTTTTACTTTCGGGCTTCGGTAACTCTTAAAGCCGTATCACTGCAGTTAAATAGGATGCTTATGATGTGTAAAATACAGCAGGCAATGAAAGACGATGCCATCCGCACCACGAGAATTCATCCCGCCGTTCATCCCGGTAACCGGGATGAAGTGTTCATATGGCAAAATTTCCAGCCCGCTTACCGAGATCTCGGTTGGAAAAACCGAGATCTCGGGAACCGAGCCAGCCCGCCCTTTCCTATGAACACATCGAAAATTTTACAAAGGATTTAGAGGTAAAGCGAGAGCTCGGAAACCGATCCAGCCCGGTCAACCGGGCTCATATGAAGACAGTTGACTCCCCATAACTTGCCACCTTCTTGGAAATCATCTAAATCTTGGGAAAGTTCGAGTTATCGGGAGTTCAAAGCAAATAACCGGAAGAAGGAAACTAATGAAATGGGACGGAGAAGGAGTTCTAGTATCATGCACACTACACTTCAAGGACAGGAAGAGATATGTCGATATTTAGAAAGAGGAATTAAGCAGCAAAGCTTGATCAATACTGTATACAGGGCTGGACAAAAAAAAAAAGACTAACAGAAAAAGACAAAGACAAAGAGCACACGGCTGGCTTGAAATAAACACACAAAAACAATATTTTTCGAGTTATCGACAGGGGCACCCAACGAGGATATAGTTCAATGCACTTAACATAGCATTGGTGAACGCATTTTAGTATTCAAACGGTAGATATAGGCATATTTTTATCCCCTAAAAACTTTTCATCTGTTCGGATTTCCTAGCTGAAAGTCTAGTGATCCGAAAATTACAGGGATAAAAACTTACCTTCTCGAAAATTTCAGCCAGGAAAAGGCTCCCGAAAATTCTAGGTGGCCTTTTTTAGAGTCAAAATCCCTTGAAAATGGGTAAATATACCATTTTGTAGATGTTCGAAAATCCTAGGAGAGGCAGGCAAGCAAGAAATTTTACAACAAATGCTCCGAAAATTCCAGATCTCAGATCGTCTTCCGAACAGATATTTTCCCGAAAATTGCCGTTGGGTGCCCCTGTTATCGAGGCCGGGTAAAATTATATAGAAATGATCTGAAGGAAAACAAAAATAACCTCGAGTTAGCGGGAGGTTCTAGTTATCGAGGGTAAAAGTACAATAAATGTATGAACTCAAGGCCTAGAGAAAATCGAGTTTCGTTCGAGTTAAGGCAAGATTCGAGTTAGCTAGGGTTTGAGTTTTCAAGAGTCGACTGTATGTGGAACCAACAATCTTTTCACTAAAAAATCTAATTCCGTGCTTATTGGATATTCCACAACACAATTCTGTATGCGAAACGAAATGAATCAGGTTCTTGCTTTAAAAAGGGTAGCGGATTTAACGATTAAAGGAGACGTACTCAAAAGGGGATCAACATCTTGTACACGAACAAAGTATCTTACCAAGTTTTTTCTCATCTGCTTTACGCCTGTTTCTGTTGTGATAAAGAACTTTCATTCCAAAGCCGTTTGCTCGTTTTGCCACAGCACTACCAATTCTTCCCAAGCCAACAATGCCAATGGTTGATCCACTAACTTTACTTCCAAAATAGCCATGCAAATGAAGAAACTATTTAAAAAAAATAATAAAACAACGTATCCATATAAATTAAAGATAGAAATGGAAAGGTCAATCCAGTTGAAGACGCAACTTATGCAGTTGCTAAAAGAAAGTCCTAAAAAAATCCAGGCCGAGTTGCCGGGATTCGAACCCTGCACTCTCAGTCGATACCGGTCCATCGCTTTGTACAATTGAGCCTGTAGCAATTTACCCGGGAAACATGAAGATGATAAGGTCCATCCACCAGTTCAAAAAATATCAAATTATTATTAGTATACCGTGTAGCATGAGAATTTTGCGGGTTCTAATTCTTGCGAATTTTGCGGATTGACCTCGATCTGCAAAAATTAGTTCCCGCAGAAAAAAAAACCCGCAAAATAACACGCCGCAAAAATTAACTCCCTTCAGTCAAATTACAAACTCTACCTTTAATGGACTTGTTGTGTATGTGGTAGGGATAGGCTTTTGTTTTGTTTTGCTGTTATTCAGTCTCTTTGTGCAGTAAGATATTACAGTGATTACCGTATTATTCTCCATTAAATATGTAAGTAGAGTGAACTTTGACTCAACATACCGTAAAATAAAAGTTGAAAAACACCATATTAAGGTTTCTTCCACAAAAATATTCTGCTACTTGAACAGAGAATCGCAAAAATTAGTTCCCACCAGAAATTTCAGTCATCTCGAACCGCAAAAATTTGTTCCCGCAAACCACAAAAAATCGCCAATCCGCAAAATAAAACTCCCGCAAAATTTTCAGGCTACACGGTATTCATTATAAGTTACATAAGAAGATATCTGAACAAAAAATATTCGTCAGTTCTTTGATAATGAGACTCTTCCCAGGGTCCAGCGGACCCCGGGAAAGAGTTTGCTTTGCCATTACTTAACTCTTTACCCTAAGATCAAAATTTGAATTCTCATTTGTTGCCCCTATTCATTTCCTACAGAAGCAGTGGGGTGAACCTGACAAAAATCAAGCAAATTCATCTTGTGTGATCATGTCTGTAATTCTCATGACCACTCTGTTTTACAAAGCACTGATATTACGAGGAGAAATTTGATGCTGATCACCCCTAGGGCTTAAAGGGTTAAGCATCTTTGCTTTGGTGCCAAATGTCAATTACATTGTCATTCGTATAAGCTTTTTTTGAGTTGTCATTCCTCAATCCTCACGGATTATGCTCGTAAAATCGAATTTTATTCTTTTCAGCGTAACCCATCAAACCATGACTAATATGCTTAAAATTATGCTCGGCTGAAGCGGTCATTCTCCTTATTCCCTCTCGCACCAACTAAATAATCATCCAAGCTACAGTCTTTGATATGACTCTGCAAAGAAAATATTAGCATTATGCCGACATTATGCCTGGAGCTCCTCATATAGTGTATTGTTTAAAATTCTGCAGTCATAATTCGTCATAGTATCCTACGCAGACTTTCTTAGGGGCTGTTATCAGGCGTTCCCGTTTGTACACGAGAGGCCATGAAATGAATCAGTATCTCGTGATAAATGCAAGTCGCGGTGAATGCCTATCAAATAAATCTTCCAGCAAATTTACAAATTAAGTTTGCAATGCAAGAAAAAAAAGGCGGTGATTAAACCAAAACCTAAAATTATTTTAATGAAAATCATTCTGGAAACTAGAAACTCGTGGTTATATTTTCGGTTGGCATCAGGTTTGTGATGTTCTTCTAATTAAATATCAAACATGGGGTACCGGGACTAAGACAGCCTTAACCCTAGTACAAGTTTTACATAGACTAGTCTGGTAAATCAAGTTATTTTACTCGTCACGAAGTATCCAGTGTTTTTACGATCAGCTTTTGTACTCAATGCCAGTAAAAGTACAAGCACGCTTATATAAATTCCGGGCCCTGGCCAGCATCTTATAAAGTCACTTGCAAGATAGCTCGGCTAGCAAACAGTCATAAGTAGCTGGCATTTACTAGTTTTTCCACCCTACCCTCCCCGGGTAGTTTTTAGTTGTATATTCATTGTAAAGTCAAAATAGCGAGGTTTTACGAATTCTTTTTTACACTAGGTTGAAGATAAACAAAAAGTAAATCTTTGTTTTAGTATGCAAATTTTTCATACGTGGGAAAACTGCAGACTCGCTGACTTAAGAAACAACTTTTACCTTTTAATTTTTTAACCAAAAATAAAACAATCAGCACAATCACATTTAACTTCGTACGAGATTAAAGGAGATCTCGAAGGTTATTTCTGTTGGCGTAGAAGGTGAAACGTTTTCGAAAGGACGGCGACACGATGTTCTAGTTTTAATATTTTGGCTGGGCGTGCTCGAATTTAAAATACTGAAATTTCTGTTTTTGTGTTGCCTTTGTATTTTCCACGGCAATTTTGCCCGATTTTCAGTACATAAATCTTTAAAAATCTTGGAGGAAAAAATCGCAAACTTTTTCAAAGCCTGATATATAAATTATCTCAGAACAAACCAAACGAATTTTTCAAGTGCATTTAATTTAGCTGATTTAGTCCCGTGAATACACTTGCAATTTGCGAATTTACTAGAGAAACAAACGCCTAAAAAATATTTTTTTTATACATCCAGGTAAATATTATCTGCCAATTTGGGAAGACGAAACGACACTACTAAAATGCATGCTCAACTGACCTATAAACAAAACGAAAAACAACATTACGCAAACACACTTTAGAGTTCTCTTTAGTTGTGTTGTTGTTTTACTGCAGGTTTGAAAAGCTTGCCAAATTTATTAATCGAAATTAACAAAAAGCAAACAGCCAACGAGCGAGGACACCGGTTTTCCTGGTTTATTTTTCACAAAAAGCGAAGGCAAACAACAAGTCTGTTACCTTAAGACTAGCGCCACTAGCTTATAATAATGCCTACAAAAAATTCCTTGAACATGTACAGCGATGCGATATTCTTCGTCTAATACTTCACAGTTGGCGATTGAGGTTTCTTTCTTAGTGAGCCTCCGCTTGCGTACCCCGTTCAGAGAAGTCATTCCAGGCTAAACTTTAAAATGAAACCAGTTTTAAGATGGACAGTATTTTGATTTGCACTCGTTTGTTGGTAAATCAAAAGGCACATTCTACACATTGTTCGCGGTCAACAACTGGCAGAGAGATTCAACTCTGCGATACACTCCCATTAGTTCCGTAAATAAAGCAAATCCTGAGAAGATATGAACAACCATCTGAATTTTCTGAATTTCCGCGGCACATATTAAGGCATATTTTCCTACTACAAGACCATAAAACAATAGAAAAGACAGCAAAATCGATCCTTCTCTCCGCCTACGGCTGATCATTCGCAAACAACCGCGCGAAGAATAAGCGCTTTTTATAACTTCCGTTGATTCCAAGAGCCAATCAGATCTTGTGGCATTGTTCTAACAGCCAATCAGCGTTGCGGCCAAAATCTGGCCGCAGTGAGCACAAACTTGTGAGCCGTTAGAGAGAATGCCTGATCTCAAGTTACTTTATGCGTGACAGTCGTTCTCGAGTGTAGCTAAATGTCGTGGGTCGTGGGTAGTGGGTAGATGTCGTGGGTAGTGGGTAGATGTCGTGGGTGTGGGTGTGGGTCGTGGGTGTCGGTGTGGGTAATTGTCGTGGGTAAAAAACGTATAGAAAAAAAATGATAAAGTAAAATAATTGAAAAAAAAATGAAATAAATAGAAACAAGTTGTAAAATATTTATGAAACGAAAATCTTCAACTCCTTGATTGCCTTTTTGGTCCTCTTCCTGATATTTCCTAAGCTACGTGAGACTTGGCTCCCCTTTCACAACATCACTGTATAAAAGACATGTCGCCGATGAAGATTTATCCATACCTGAGCTATCGCCGCGAAATAAACGAAACAGACGTAAATTATACCTGCAATTGGCAGAAAGTATGGTACAGCTCTGACTCGCTGAATGGAAATGGCTGCTCACTATTAATCTTTATTCGATCGACAATTCCTTTCATCAGCGGAGATTTTTTTAGGGCGTATGGAAAAGCGGGAATCCGGAACCGGAAGCGGAACCGGAAACGGAAACGGAAACGGAACTGGAACCCGAATCCGAACCTAAGAAATAAAAATTGGGGACGTTTCTGTCTTAAGAGTGTCACTAACAATAATTGCTAGATCAAGACTTTTCATCCCCACATTATATTTATTTATTGTTATTATATTTTTTACTGTCGCATTTTTTGCGTACGGGGCAAAATTTTTCTTCGAGAATTTCATATACGCGTGAGTGTTACTCCTCCCTTTGCCGCCTTTCCCTCACAATGGATGAAACACGGAGCCCTTTTAACAAAAGGTACGAGTAAGAATATACAATGTTACCAAAAAATGTTACCATTTTACAAAAACATATCTGTTTTCGTTTACAGATCGCGACAAAGCGACGAATCGATTGAAATATGAATACGTGTGAAAATGTGAAGTTGTTGTGCCTTGAATTTATGCTCGAGTCTGCGGCGGAACACTATGGGCTGATTCTTTGAATTTTAGTGGTTATGTTCTTTTTTTTTATAAAGTCATGTATTTTACAACTGAATATTTTGTTTGTTTGTTTGCTTTTTGTAGTAAAAGTGTCTAAGCGTGATGTGTAAGCATGTTTGATAAAGTAGAACACATGCGTGTACTAAATAAACAAACGTAAGCTCTTTTGCGCGGTGAGTATTTCTTTGGTATCACGATCACTGTGCTGAGAATTTCTCAAAACAATGATAACAGAGGACGCCATCTTGAATTTTATTTCCACACGGGTATCGGTAACTGGTTTCAGTGTTTCCCAGTTTACCCTGGTCTCAATTTAAGTTCTGGTTCCGGTTCCGATTCCGTTTTCGGCTCCGGTTCCGGATTCCGGATTCCGGCTTTTCCATACGCCCATTTTTTTAGCACGGTGGAATGCGATCACCGTGAGAAAGGGTAGGGAAAAAGGACAATTTTGAGGTAATTCATATTTCTGGATAGAAGTCTTTCTTAAAGAAGTTTTAGGTCTCTTATCTTACGAAGGAAACACCTTCATTTCCAACATTTCAAGTTAAGCGGCGAGACTGTATGAAAATTTTATTGCCGTACGGAAATACAATCTTCGCGATTCTTTTTTGTTTTGTTTTGTGTACAAAGTCTTTGCTTAAACTGAAAGGACGTTTCAGTCACGAATGTTGACATCTTTGAGAAAGATCAGTTCAGTCTCCAGTTTTTCTCTAGCCTGCTCCAGGTCTACACAGTGTACAGAGTTTCTTTTATTTTTCACCTAAATGCCTTTTTAGTGACCGTTTGTACTAGAGGATTCGCTCATTTCTTTTGCTGACCGCGGGGAAGGGGAATAGGACTGGTATGTACTCGGAGATTTTCGTTTCATGAATTTTACAACTTTTTGCTTTTTCATTTTTTAAATTTTTTTTGGAAGACATTTTTTCACCCACGACATTTACCCACTCCCACACCCACGACCCACGACATTTAGCTACACTCGTCGTTCTCTTTTTACAAATTATGACGTATACCTTTGTTTGTTCCATTTGAGTGTAACTAGTTATTACCTGTTTCATTTTAATATTGTGCCTATACTGAGTGATTACCTATTTACATGTTTTAATAAAGGCTGTCATGGTCGCAATCCGCTGTCTGTGTTTTGGTTGGTATTTAGTACTATTTTCAAAACACAGACGTAAATTTGAAAAGCAGTCACACAATACAATGGGTGTCATAGATTTGTCCCCCAACCTCGTCCCCAGGGCTTTTCCCTTTAAGGGAAAAGCCCTGGGGACGAGGTTGATTTGTTCCCGTAACTGGTGTCAAATTCAAATTGGCATTCCTACATGCGTAATGAGCAGTGAATATTTTACGAGAACTTCTCTGTATTTGGTCAGATTGAAAATCTTTGAATGGATAAAATTGCTTCGAAGACATTTACGTCAAATTCAGGGAAACTGAGGTGGTACAAATTTTATAACTGCCTCGCGTGTGAATTCACGGCTCATTACGCATGCAAGACTGGAGAGATGAATCTGAAATTTACGTCTACCAAGGGATTAAACTTTGGAATAATAAATTCATTAATGGCATCTTGGGGCGTACGCTTGACCCGATTTGACTGTAAACTGTAGCCTCAAAACGACCGCGCAAACATGCAAGGCAAATTAAAACATTTTCTCAAATACAATGCAACCATTTCTTTGACTTTATAGCAAATTTACCTCTTTGGTTTCTGGACTTCTTGCAATCCTGTCTCCTTCTACAACGTTTCGAGCAGAAGCCAACAAAAGGGAGAACGCCAAATCGGCTGAACAATCAGTAACAACATCTGGTGTATTCCCGACGGCAATTCCACGTTCAGTAGCGGCTGCTATATCGATGTGGTTAATACCAACTCCACAGTTGCTGATAACTTTGAGATTAGGAAAATAACCCATCACCTTTGAATCAATTGGTAAATAAGCCGGAGTGTAGAGTAACAATCCTTCGACTCTGCGGGCCATTTCTTTCGTGATTTGATCCAAATCGATATTTATCACTTCAAAGTCTTTTGAAGCTTCCTTAATCGTTTTCTGAAGCTCAGCAGGGAGTTCAATTATGGGAGTGCGAGCCACCAGAGGTCCTGCTTGAGTTCCCATCGTCAAAGATGTGATAAACCGGATGATTCCTCGACGATTTGCTTTAGCTCGCGCGGGGAATCGGCATGCCATTTGCCAGTCATTAATGCCAGAGCCTTTTGTCTAGACTTCTGGATCAAATAAGGGCAGGAGTCCGGAATGGAACTCTGCAATTTAAGGGACAGGGAGGGGTACGGGAAGCATCCACCCACCCCTTGCCTACCGGAGCCAAATATACATCCAGCAACCGGGCAGACCTTTCTCAACGACCGGACTTCATTTGTTTAAACTGGTTTAAAGCAACTCGAACAACCGGATTTCACTTGTCAGAGATCCTTGGTCGCTGAGTGTCCTCACACAGTAAGTGAATAAAGATGCAGTTTTAAGACCTTATACTTAAAGGTTTAAGGTCTACGACAAATATCAATATCATTAGTTTGAAAAATAATGTGTAAGTTATCCTTTACGTACATTTTTCTAGCAAGACAGTTAACATGTAGGATCTCAGAAAATCACTGACTATAATCATGTTTTGTTGTTGATTTTTCATGTTTATTAAAACAGCTTTGAAGGTCCACAGCATGAAAATGGAGATTTACGCAAAATTAAAGTTTGCGTAAACCTGCGTAAAGTTGGTCATCCAACTTTACGCAAACTTTCCACGGCGCGTAAAGGTTTGTAAAGGTAAATTTACGCGCTCGGCTCTTAAAGGTTTCGTAAAGCTAGGTTAAAGTTGTTGTAACAGCTTTACGCTCATTTACGCTACAAGTAAAGGTTTAGTAAGGTTGTCATATAATGCTAGCTTCCTAACAGCAATTTATTCCCGGCACTGTTTTTAGTAAGTCGTTTGTGTCTTGATACTAGTTCGCATAGTTTTTATGATCACTCATTTGGTGTTCGATGTTGGTGTGCGATGTAAACAAGCCAACCGCGCAAATTTTTTTTGGTGGTGCGAACGACTTCGTACACGCTTAAAAATGACGCTGAAAAGAAAATTCTGCTGGCAGAGTTCATGCAAAGATATAGACATAGCTTGCGACTGTGCGGCAATTTTCGAAAAACGGTATATCTGTCGCGGCAAACATAATAGCCTTCAATACTCAGTAGTATTGCCTCATTGATTTCAGTCAGTATAAGGTGTTTCTTCCTTAACGGTCACCTCTCTACACGGGCCATTTTTGTTTTTGTTTTTTTTTTTTCGGCGGACGGTCCATACATGACATACATTTACTCTTCTTTCAACCTCTCTACTATGGCCACTTTCTTCGATGTCCCTAAGGTGGCCGTTGTAGAGAGTTTCAACTGTAATTTGATCAAATTGAAATAATTGGAAAATAAAGAAAAAATATCGCCTCGCAAAAACGGCGAAATTGACTTAAAGAAACAACGCATTCACAAATTACTGTGACAATTTTACATTCAACGGAGTACTGGCTTCATTGTTGAACCTCCTTTATCGCTTCCTTATTTTAAGTCCGCGGACTTCAGGTTTGGGAACGGACAATTTGTTAAAAGAAAGAGGCCTGGAAACAATAGAGGGAAGGGACACCTGGTCAGCGGGCTTGTTCCTTAGCACATGCTCAATCAGGTTCGTTGATTTGGCGTCCATTTTGAAAGTTTCCAACGGTTTCAAACTTGCTTCTTTGAAAGGTTGGAGATCGTTCATATATTGTGCTTCTTGATAGCATCACAGGACATCTTAAGGTTGTTACAATTTATAATGGCACTATCAGCCTTTAGTAATCGATCACTTCTCAAGTGTGCAGCAACCCTTTCGGGACGAGATACTCAGTCAGAAATGGAGACAGAAACATCGTGTGAAGCGCAAGCATTAACACTGGAATGTTCACAACACAGACCAAGACTGTATTACACGTATTACTAAGGCTCTTCGATACTCAAGATCCCGCTGAAAAGAGCAGATAGTAAGGCAAGGTAAGTTGTCCTGGCTCGCCTTTTCTCTAACTTTTTAAGCTTAATTCCAACTTGTTTATGACGAGTTCGAATGACTGTCTCAAGTACTCAGTAACTAACATTTCAGTGAGCAATGAAACCAGCATTAACCGTTTAAAGTAAATTATAACTAAACATGTGTATTTATTCGGCATAACCTTTCAATACTAAGCAAGCAACGAGACCATGACGTTGAAGATGATAATGTAAAATCATGTAAGGACTTTGGGGGTCTGAAGGAGTAGAATTTCCTTGTTTTGTACTGGAAAATAGGAGTTTGGTCACTGGTACTGGGAATTACTAAAAGAAAATAATGGAATTAAGAAAGGACATCTGTATAAAGTAAGCTTACATGTAATGTGATACAAACATTCTTATGAAAATTTTCACAGACTATAGAAGAACTAATAAACAGAATAGAAAAGTGTTAACAAGTGTTGAATTTGCAAGTAGGCAAAGATAATCTACGTAGTCTGGTTCTATATTTTCATGCGTCAGTCAATAACAAACCCAAGCTTCCCAATTCCCCGGGCAGTCATAGCGTCATAAGTGGTGAATAATTTAACAGCATGCATGTATTTTTTGACGCAGGTACAAAAGTTTATTTTTGATTTTAAATTACGTGGGTTTTAACTTAAATGAACAGAGAATGAATAGACATTTTCATGAGTCTTTCAATGCAGAGCTAATGCAGACCATGATTGAATTAGAATGTATTTTCATGTAAGTGCCAACATAGTTGTTAACATCTTCACAGTTTCATACCTTCATCTGCAGTTCAAAGTATGATTCATTTCATATATTACCATTAATTTTAATCTTCATGGTGCACTGCTCCTATGAAATTATATTGTGGTTCTTGAGAGGATACAGTGCAGCACATACTGTCAGGAAATTGAATGCCTTACTTTTTGGGAAGCAAAGCACACAGTCATGTTAGAAACCAGAAATTGTTCTATTTGCACCATAGTTGTATCGTCAGTAAATCTAGGTTTAAAGGAAAATAAAATTTAAAGAAACAAGTTGTGAAAGATAAGACTCTTAAGAGGGTCATAGCAGTCATAGCTGTTTTGGATTCTCTTGTCTACATACACCATTATTAATCTGCAAATACAACTGTCTCTCTTGTGAAATGTCCCTGGTGGCAAGGAAAGAAAATAGGCTGCTTTATTTACAGGGTACACTGTACATTATTATTAGGAGGCATTGTTTTCAAGATTGAGGATAAGGGCTTTAAATAGCAAAGTGGCTTCACTCCTGTTACATTAACTAGGAACCTTGAGCGTTTCGTATTAAAAGAAAAAAAATATATTAGGTAAAGTTTCAGGAAAATTTGAAACTTTTGGGAATAAGGTGCTTATATGTTTCTATATTTTCCCTGAAAGTCTTTGGTGGAGCTCATGAGAAGGCTACGAATGTTTATTGATTTGGAACTTTAGTCCGGGACAGGTAGAAATTTAGTTCGAACATGTAAACCTTTGATATGACTTGTCCGTGGGACAAGCACATTTTTAATTAGAAAAATAAAGATAAGAAACAGTTGCCTTAAATATTCTATTTAACTTTGCCATTCCACTGCCAGTCGTTTCATCCATTTGCTTTTTTACAAGCTCTGTTGTAGGTTTAATTCAAAAATAATATACAAGGGTAATAATGTGATTAAAAACATTAAATGCCCGTTGCAAGCTAAACTTTTTGGACAAGAACTCTAGGTTTCGGACAACTAAATTTAATGTATTGCTCGTGTGAAGGACAAGTGGATAGGAAAATTTCTCTCTTACCAGGGTGCAAAGAAGGTGATTTTTAAAGCTTGCCATTCGGGCAAGCTGAAGCTAGCATATACTAGCCCAAATGTCATTTCAACTAGCCCCCAAACCGTTTTGACGAGCAGAATTGATTTCACAGTTCTTCTTTAATTTGAATTCCTCAAAAAAACTTCACTTGCCCATCGGGCAAGTTAAGTTCAAAATTCACTAGCTCGATAGCAAAATCCACTAGCCCCAGGCTATCGGACACTACTTTCTTTGCGCACTGCTTACTCTCTAATAATAATAATAATGTACATCCAGTGGTTTTTCATAGCACTTTACAATGATATTAACGGATGATACTTTTATAAAAATGCATACATTAAAATAAAAAAAGATATACATTGTAAAACATTGAACTCTAATAATATAATAAACCATTGTTAATAAATTTAACATATATATATGCTTCAGTCTCCCCGACTAGTAAGGCACTGTGCCTGAGTTATAAGACATGAGACTTTAATAAAGTTCATTACCATTATTATTATTATTATTATTATAGGGTTTCCATGTAGCATTTTACCCTGATTTTCACTCAACTGCAAGTAGGGTTCTAAATGTAAATATTATTGCCTTTAAGGAAAACCTTTAACTCATACTAGTCAAACATTTTGAATCTTTAACAGTCAGATGAATCTTATTCAGTTGTGTGAATTTGTGGACATTGAAATCATTTGCTACTCAGGTTTTGCACTGTTATTAGACCACTTGTGGAAAATGCCTTATCATTTTTTTCAAATTTTTAGTCTTGGTTTGTGAAAAGAGGCATGTGGGGAACCCTGTGTCAAGTAAAATTGTGCTGATTGTAGTAATTTGGCCATGAGTGTAGGAAAAAATATTATTAATTAGTAATAGCAGGCGGTGTCCTCTGGCAACTTAGGGGGTGTTTACATGACACCGGGGCAACTTTTGCCCCGGAGCGAGTTCCCTCCGGTTCCCTCTCATAGCTCTATATTTGTTTACATGATACCACCACAAAATATCATGCAGGCGCGAGTCATCCCAGCATGAGTTCACCCCGGTTCTTGTACCGGGGCGAGAATTTCACTCTGGCATGGCACTCATCTCATGGCAGTATCATGTAAATGTGAAACGACCACCCGTTTCGGCATGAAATCGGTCTGCCAGTAGACTGGAATGGGTAGCGCACGCGTAATGTTTGCGATTTTGAATCACATTTGTATTTTATCAACATGAAGTGTACCTTCAAATAACGAGATATGAAATGACTCAGTCATAATGTAAACGCGATACAAAATCAAAAAGTCATCCCGGTATGAGACTCGCACCAGTGTGAGTTTTCTCATGTAAACACCCCCTTACTGTACA